GCTGTGTTGTTTTTTGGAATGACAAATGTTGAATGTTGCAATTCGCAGTAAATGGTATTATTATAAAGCTCCACTGCACCCTCAATTTTTATTCGAGAGCCATTATTATAGACTTTCGTTCGATTTAACAGGTGTTTGATTTTGGTTGAATGGAATGCCGTTACCGTGAAGGGTTGATACGTACCCCCTGTATTAGTTTTAACATATTGAGAAAGACTCACATCGAAAGAAACGGTCGTTTCTGTAATATTCGGTTTCCCAGAAATTGTACCAATTGCTGTAACGTAAGTAAAATCGTGAGGGATTGATGATGAATTTAGGGAAATCTTTCTCGAGTGAGAGCAGGTAATATTCATTGTTTGTGTTGTTGAATCTATATTTGTAACAGTCCCGTGGAAGTAGATAACGTCTTTGGGAGCTAACGATACGACATAACAGGGTGCTTCGGCATCGATTGGAACAAATTGAGTGATGTTAAATGTAATATTTTCGTCTTCGTTTGTTTTTGATTTAACGATTCCTGTGCCGACCACAAATTCAGTTCGAGGAGTGGTTTGATAGCTGACAACTTCTCCAATTGAACGAATTTCCAAAGACATGGTGTTTATATGAACGATTAAAAAGAAATAAACTGGAAGAAAAGAAGAAGAAAATTGAGAAGGAATTTTTTTATTTGTAAATAAAGATACTCTTGGAATTCGGGTAGGCTTTTATATGTTTTGTCAGAAGAGATGTATAGCACTTGTCCTTTATTTATTGGTGTCTTTTTAAACGATTTGTTGGTTATTTGGGGTAAATGTAATTAATATGAACAATGTGAAAGTGTGCTTTTATTATTGAACTGAGTGTCGTATGTTTACAAGTTTTCTGATTAATCATTTATTATAGTAAATAATTGTTTTGTGTGTGGGGAATTAATTAAAAGCTAAAAAATTTTTAACTTTAAATGATAATGTGTTCTATTGGTGGCCACGTTAAATACGCTTTTCCCAAATAGTTCATGGTGTATATGATGGAAAATCGTTTTTATAAATGCTAGTACATATATGTGCCAAAAAAGTTTTTGGCAACAAAATGGCAAATCAAAGCCCGATTATTATTGGTGATTTGCGAATAAAGAGTTGGTGCATACGATGGCGACAATTCGTTTTTTGATTTACAAACAACAGCTGATGCATTTGTTAAGATTAGTGCTAACTGACGACGAACCATTATTTTGGTCAACACATGGTGTGCTTTATTGATATGGCTAAAGGTACGTAAACAGCCCATGTGTCGTTTTTACGATGCTTGTGGCCAAACATTTAAAGTTTAGTGTTGCGAAAACTGATTATTATTGGTGATTTGAAGAATACCGAGGGATGGACAGTTTGTATACATGATAGAGACATTTCTTTTTTTTTGATTTAACCTGATCGTTATCTGTATCGATGGAAAATGGTTGGGGGTTACTAAATGAGTTAGCGATAGTTAAGAGGTACTGATCTGTTCGAATAAAAGTATATACTTTGTATTACACACGATACGTGTACTGTAAAACTATAAGTTATGTTTCGCATACATACAGTATATAGTGTGCGATGAATAAAAAAAATCATTTTTACGTTCGGACAATTGCTTGTTTGTTCATGATCAGTAGTATTGGCATAATTGGTTTAATGCTTAACATACTAGCTCTGGCTTGTCATTCAAATTTAGTTTAATCACAAAGTTTAATCGACCTTGTCAGATATAGTAAAGCTGATATTCATTACTTAGACAGTATTGGGAAAAGTAGAAGGGTGGCTAATGTGAGTTAACGCCTTATTCGAACAGTTGGTGTATACCGTTTTTACAATAATGGTATACACGCCAAGATATTTAAACTTTTAATGTTGAATGAACTATTGGTGATCTGCAAATAATGGGGAGCAAACAGTTTAGTGTATACGATGGGTTACAAAAATAACAGCTGATACACTCATGCATGCTGATTATTATTTGGGGCTGGATGTAAGAAGCCATTTAAGTGCTAGCACAGGTTGATCATCAAGTGATGGCTGGTAAATGTGCGTAGTACATGTGTGTATGGCTAAATCAGTGGTTGACTTATTTGGATTTGCAGGAGGCAAAAAAATTTCCCTCATATTTTACAATAGATCGACAAATAGATGAGATGATACTTTATAATATTTCGTGCGATATTATTATACTCTATGTATCGAAAATGCACCTTTCTTATAATAAATGCTTTTAATATTGTGATCTTTTGAATAGACAATTGGTGAAACAATGGCATTATTAGATATGGGTTAAGGAATAGTTCAATTATAGTCTGTTATACGTTCGATTGTGGTAAAAAAAATAATGAATTTTATTAAGGGAAAGAAAAGGAAAGTAAATACGTTATGGATAAATTTAATATGAATTTAAAAAGGAATTCGATCAGCTAATTGTTTTAATCTTTCGTATTCAATAGCTACATTTCTATCAACTAAAAATGCGC